GTGAATTGAATTTTAATGAATTTGAAGTAAAAATAAGTTTTATAGTAATAGAGAATTTAAAACATGAAATGATTTTAGGAAGTGATATTTTAAAACTATTGGGTATTAATATAAACTATGAAGAAAAAGAAGTAACAACAAAATATGGTGAATTAAAAATTGAATATGAAAATAAAGATGAAGTAAAAATGATTAACGAAATAATGTTAGAAGGAAAGGAAATAAAGGATATAAAAGTAAAGTCACCAAAATTTGGGTTATTAAAGAAAGAATGTTCTAAATATTTACTTTGTGTCTACATATTAGAAAAAGGGGAAAATGTGATTACTATTGCAAACATAGAAAATAATATGAAACAAATTAAAAATGAAGAAATAGTTGGAAAAATAACTAATTTAAAGAAAGGAGAAATTATTTATAATGAAAATAAAAATGAAAATATAATTGACATATGTGTAATTTTGATCTAAAAGATAAAGTAAATGAAATAATAAAAAGCTATGATGAAAAAATAGATCCCAAAAAATCAATACCGGAAGAGTTAATATTATATAAATTAAAACTTAAGGAAGAAAACCAAGAATCAAAATACAAAAGAAATTTTAAAATGAATCCATTAAAAGACAAGATTTTAAGAGAAATAGTAGAAGAATTAGAAAGAAAAAATATAATTCGAAAATCAGAAAGTGATTGGAACTCACCTGCTTTGGTGATACCAAAAGCAAATGGAAAACACAGATTAGTAATAGCTTATAATTATATAAACGAATTATTTGTAAAAGAAATTACACCACCTCCACTTATTACAGAAGTAATAGATAATTTAAGAGAAGCTAAATATTTTACAACTATTGATTTAACTGATGGTTATTACCAAATTACCTTACATCCGAATAGTCGTAAAATAACTGCTTTCACAGCTGGAAAAATAAAATATGAATTCAATAGATTATCACAAGGATTGGTAAATGCACCATCTATTTTCCAAAAAATAATGAATTGTATTTTAAATGAAGAAATTGGAACCTTTACAACATGTTATATGGATGACATACTTATTTACAGTGAAACTAAAGAAGATCATTTATTACATTTGGAAAAAATATTTAAAAATTAGGAGCTTTTAATTTAATAGTTAATAAGAAGAAAACAAAGATTGGTTATAATTATGCATGTTATTTAGGATTTAAAATAAGTTATAAAAAGGTAGAGATTGATCCAGAAAGAATAGTGAAGTTGGAAAAATATAGTATATTAAAAACAAGGAAAGATATTGAAAGATTTTAGGATTTATAAACTATTATAGAATGTTTATAAAGGATTTAAGTAAAAAAGTAAAGATATTGTATGATATAATGAATAATAAAACGAATTATGATCAAACAATTGTAGATAAAAAATCAAGTGAAATTATAAAAGAATTACTAGAATCAAAAGGATTAACTACACCAAATTTTGAAAAGAAATTTATAATAGAAACAGATGCTTCAGAAAAAGCATTAGGTTTTATATTATTACAAGAGGAAGATAAAATTGATAAAATTATAAAATTTGGAAGTAGAATGTTATCAAATGAATAACAAAACTATTCAACTTATGAAAAGGGATTATTGGCAGTAATTACAGGTATAAAGGCATTTAAAAAATATTTATACTTACCTTTTGAGGTAAGAACAGATCATAAACCTTTACTAGCCAAACAAACACTTAAAGATTCTCATAGTAGATTAGTTCGCTGGATACTATTTTTAGAAAATTATGACTTTGAGATAAAATATAAAAAAGGAAAAACTAATACTAAAGCAGATTTTTTGTCAAGAATAGAAATAAACAATATTGAAAAGAATAATGATGAAGAAAGAAATAAAGAAGAAAGAAATTTAATTGAAAGGATTCATGAAATTTTAGGTCATAGTGGAATTGAATCTATGTATATTTATTTGAGAGATAAATGTGAAATAAAAAATTTATTAAAAAAGATAACAATAATAGTTAAAGAATGCATAAAATGTAAAGAATATAGTAAAAAAATTAAACATAAAATATTATTTAGTGATTATATATCAACATGGAAAAGAATTGGAATAGATACGATAGGACCACTACCAGAGAGTGAGGAAGGAAATAAATATATTTTAATAGTAACTGATTATGGAAGTAAATATGCAATAACAAAAGCACTAAGAAATAAAAGTAAAGAAGAAGTAGCAAATTTCGTATTAAATGAAGTAATTTTTAAGTATGGTCCACCTGTTGAGATTAGGATGGATAACGGTAAGGAATTTATTAATAATGTTATGGAAGAACTAGCTAAATTTTGGAAAA